TTTCTCGCGGTGGAAGAAACAATGAAAACAAAAAGTCACCAAGTTGTTCCCATTTTTTTGCAATTGCAATAAGTTAAGAACTCATATCTGTATTATTTGATAATATCATCCCCTGACAATACAAGATTAAATAATGTGTCGGCTTTATCAGTTGCAAAATGCGTGTCAAATCGATCCTATCGAAAAGTCTACAAGTTGTTGAAACTCTGGCTAATTCCATATATTTCATATACATCTAAGGGCATATGGCTTCACGATCAGTATTTGTTTAATGTCAAAATTCACTGCCAACTCCAAGTCAGCGTTCGAAATATAGAAACAGTCTCTCATGTAATATTTTGTTTCAAATGAAATAAAAAAATGTAATTTGTCAGGGAGCATGAAATTAGTTTTTCCCAAAACATGTTATTAAACAAATCACTGGCAGCTACATGCACAGTTGCTCAAAAATTGACAATAACATAACTATTAATCATGTTCATTCAATAATTTGTTGTAATGGGAATTCATTTTTATTGATCAGTTGAAAGATGCACGACAATGATTTGATTCAAAATAAAAATGAATGTCTTGATATGAGTGAAATGTTGGTTTAAGAACTTCATCCCCTTTTATTATTATGCTAAAGCCGATGCTAGGGTGCGTGAAGTAGATTGTACTTTCCATTACCGGCCATTAACAACAATTAGAAGTAATAAATTATTTAATATATTGTATCATTACACCGTTTTCAAACATCTATTGCATGATAAAATAAAATTCTATAACTGTTATTGTAAATACACTTTTTTCTTTGTGATTTTTGCCTTTTTTTCTGTTGTCTTTTACGCACATTCAACACATCTTTGGTCACATCTCGGCAGGTGATCCTAGTTACCGACTTGCTTAGATAACTAACTAGTAATTAACCATTTGTTTTTTCCGCAAGTGACCCACTCATGATATCAGCGGTGATAGACAAATTACCATTTGACTCAATATTCGAGATACAATGTCACGGGAAAATTCGCCACGTCCGAAGTTCGAACCAGCAACTACTGGATCACTAACCCTATATTCTCCTTATCAAAATACGGAGATGGACCACTTGTTGCCATTTGTGAATATGCAGAAAAAACGACACTACAATATCGCTTGGATGTATTGATCATGTTTTGAACAAGATAACTCACATACGTGTCAAAGACGCTGGGATTTTTTAAAAAATGTTACTAAAATGAATTATAATGAATGTTTAGAAAAATAAATTTATTGACTATTCTAAAAGAACGCAGAAGCTGGTAATTTTATAAAAATAAAGATCATTTTCATTTATTAACCGGTCCTTGATTGGTATAAAACATATCGAATAAGACACCTGATATCGGATTAATTGAATTAATCTCTAAGGCATTCAGACATTTTTAAAAATAAACTTTATGGTCATTCTAAAAAGAACGCAGAAAATGATAATTTGACGGAAAACAAAGATAATGAATCATTTTTATTTATTGTTATCATTGGGAAACTAAATTGTCTGAAGATAAACTAATCAGAAATGACACCTCGGCATTTGTTTAAATACTGGCGCGTGCCATTATCACACAGACAAGAGAGTTATAAACAAAGAAAATTATTTATGACTGTTAAAAGTGTGTATGATTAATAATATTAAAATTGTATATTTTTGAATTGTTTTTATAATAATAGAGTAAGTGAATTATCAAAAATACTCTGCAAAGAGTTAAATTGCATATCAGTTTCAGAGTGTGTAAAATGTTGTTTTTAAATGGAGTATTTTGATGAGTCGAAAATTAGTAAGCGTTTCTTACTTTTTGGGAAAAAAATAACAAGAATGGATATTCTAATAAAGAATTACAAAGACACAATAAAGAAAGTATTGTCCGACAAAGTTACAGATGATAATATTCCAGTCTGTGTATTGTATCGAATATGCAAAAAATGACATGGATAAAATATCTACTGCTGATAAATCAGAAAGAATCAAGATAATGATGCTTTTTAAAGACATTATATGACAGAGTAATGACGAAGCTAGGCAATCTTGATTCATATCAGCCTTGTTTCTGGAATTGAGTGAATGACCGAACTTTGTTTCTTGGTGGTGATTATTGTTCTTTTAAGGACATTATGTTGTCTAAGATGAAAACAATATCAAATGTGAATGGTGATATGTGAATGAGATTTTCATAATACTAGTTGTCCTATATGTCTAAGCTTGCAGATTTTTAGTGGCAAATAATCATACATAAAGGCATTATTCAGATATGGTAGATATTTCTTATCTTCTACTTATAATAATCTAATCACGTAACAAACTGTGATCAAACAAGACAAAACTATTTGGATTTTTATTTATTTAATACTTCACTAAGCTTATTTCAATAACCGTTACAAATGTATGCTGAAATGAATCTATAATTCTAAATGCCTCATGCGATAACCTATTGTATACAATGTCGTAAGAACAAGTAAAGTATTCTTAGAAACTACTATACAGGCAAGTAATCACGAACAAAACAATTATTTTTAAATGATGTCATTTCGAAATGTCTTAGGCAAAAGCGTACAAGTGTTCTGTTTAATGATTGATTATATATAAGCCATTATTAAATCTGGGCTAAGAATGAATCGGATAAACGAGGTTCGTTCAGGCGACTGATTCGGTTGTCAAAACCATAGGAGAAAATGATTTTTGGATTGTCGCTTAAATAGATTACAATAGTATGCTCCATTACATAGGTGAAGATGTCCAACGTAAACTAAGGAATAACTTATTCTTAACTATAATTCTTTGGCATACTACAACTAATTTGTTGATATGAAGGGAATGATAAACTAATTAAAGCACCGTCGTCAAACTATCAAATGTACTTTGTATGATATATGGAATAAACATCGTATCGATATATCAGAAATTACATTGGCTACTTGAACTGAGTTGTTGAAAATAATAACTATAATAAGTAAAATAACCCCTAAAAATGTACCTAAGTTTAAAGAAGGATGTCTCAAGAATAATACTAATTTATTTGAAAAAAAAATTGCAATGAAAGTAATTTACACAATGCCATACGGTACTTAATGTCTAAGACCCCCCCCCCCCAAAAAAAAAAAAGAAAAAAAAAGAAAGAAAAAGGGGAAAAATATAGAAATAGGTCAAAGTATGCCCAAATAGCTCTTACTGAGTGAGTTAATCAGTAAAAATATGGTTATAAACACTGCAAAATCAGTCAAAAAATGTATTGAATTGTTAATATTTGTAAGATATTCTTAAAATCTTAAAATATTGTTTTCATGTTTGATTTTTCTTAATATTTTGGCTCATCTGGAACCATGCAGCTTTAAAGTGACAATTTGTTTAGAAAACCGTAGCTTAACTCAAAATATATGTATGAAACCAATCAGAGTACACTTCTAATAGGTCAGCGCTATGTTAAAGTTATATAAATAGACAATATTTACCTTACTCTAACCTGAACGAAGAGCTTTATTTGAATGTTTGATGAATTAGACGTGTATACGTAGAAGTACACCTAGCAGAAAAAACCTATGATTAAGAAACCATTTTGCCTGGAACAAATTATTATTATTGTCACCATTGTTATTACTGTATTTAGGGTCAAACAAAGTCATGGAGTCGATGTTATTTAAACATCTTTTTTCCTATATTATATACTAACACTGGAAAAAAAAATATTGTATTCACTAAGAAGAGAAAAAAATATTGCATTACATTCATGATATACTTCTATACGCTATACCAGACATTCTGTGGGGATAAATAAATAAACAGAAAAACGCTGAAAACGCATTATATTTTGTTAATAATTTCAACATTTAAACATTTCATCTGTCTACAGGTATGTAAAATATTTATTCACATTTAAACATTCGTTCTGATTTATGCACAACAAAACGTTACTTATCTATTTGTTTATTTCTTTATTTATACGATGACGGATTCAAATTTTACAATCATTTTCATGAAAATGTTATCAAAATGCAATAAACTGTTAAAAGATACGCTATCGTAACACATTTGTACCTTTACATACGGTTTAATGAAATATGTGCCGTGCATGTGAATCACAAAGATGTAAAACAACGCCTAAGTGTATCATATCTAATTAATCGCATACATATAATTATATATGTCTTTACTGAACCAGTTGATTTATGCATGCTTGATTTTTGAAGGATTTGCTGAATAAAGTCTACATCAAAAGAAATATCATCACATTGTCATTAAAAATAACAATATCAAATCGTTGTTATGAGCATACTGGACTGTTAAAGGAATTACTGAATGAAATCTACATAATTATCATCATCAAAAACGACAATAAAAGCCTAAAAGGTACTACTAGGAGGAAAGAGTTATATTTTAGGATACATCAAAATGCCACTGCTACTGATACAGGACCTTCATCAAAATTATGCTACTACCAATGATAATTGTGATCAACATTATGACCTTGTGATATCCAGAAATTGAATTTGATACACATGTCAAGTTTCTTTATATCAATTTATGATTGTTATCCATACTTGTAAATATTCTTTTTTGTATAATGTAAAAGCAACTGAAACAAATGTATTTATTAAATCATACGAATCGAAAAGTGTTATGTCTGGTTAGTTTCCAAACAACGTCAGCACTACTACATGACATGACTATGTCTGTCTTTTTAGCATTGTCGGTTAGCGAAAAATTCAATTAAATATATCATCCTGTAGTCAACGCTGTAGTGTATTGATATAAATATATAAAATGTAACACGCTGAGAACTTCAGGAAAAAATAAACTATAACTATTATAGAGGCAGTATCGGATAATATTACAATGATATAAATAGCCAATAGCGTCTTTTATCGAAACAGTTTTATTGGAGATGCATTGCGCTTTATTCCGGTACGAAAGACTGTATCTTTTAAAACGAAACAAGTTTGAAATTGTTCGGTATTATAGGTTTATAAACGTTTCAATGTTATAGTTAACGGATAGTGGAAGCGGGTAGGAAATGTGACTGGTAGTATCACACGACAAGAAATTGCGAGAGAAATGGACAAAAGTTTATTTTAAAAAAACAAAGATTTAATAAAAATGTTGATTGTAATGTGTTTAAGTTAAATTGTTAATTTTGAAAATAAGTGTAAGAACACGACAAAAAAAATCAAACAAATGTCGTAAAAACTCACGAGTGTCAAATTGTTAAGTAAAACATAGACATATCAAAGAATTTTTATCTTGAATTGTCGTATGCAAGTATTTGTGTAAAAGTTTGCAAAATAACGAAAACGATAACATAAAATAATACTACCAATATTAAATCAAAAACAAGTATAAAGGCGTGCGTGTTTTATCTTCGACAGGATTAATTAAGACAAATACTACGAGGCAAAAGCCGCTTGATAAATGAATAGCTGGCTTATCAGTATGAAACATACCTGAATGGGTTCAAAGCTTTAACTTTAAAGTTTAATTGTTTAATCTAACATTCTATGGTTTGCCGAATACAATTCTTTGATTGTGCAAAAAATGATAGTAGATAGTAAGGGTTGCTAATGTAGTTTAAGAAAGAATGCAAATATTTACAAGCTATTGTGGCTTGTCAGTTGCTACTATAGACGAGTGTCTTGAGGTGCACTAAAATATATGGTTACTTGGTTTGGATTGAAGAACAGGAATTTAGTTAGTAGAGTCACTATATAATTTTAAAAAATAGGAGACGAACAATTTAAGCAATGGAAGGGCTGTGTAGGGACAGATATACGGAATTACCAGTGACTTTGTTCAGATTGGTGACATGCTCTATGTGCTATAAATATATTTTCAATTACGGGAGTGACCTTCAACCACATTCCCAACAGCCCTGGACTCTTGTGTCGTTAACAGACAGTGAAGTTTATACACAGAATCTATCCATTGTTGCTGACATCAGAAATGCAACTTCAAGAAATTTAATATGTCATTCTTTGACAGAAGAAGAATGTACCAAATGGACTGACTGCTGCTATGCGTCGATATCGTGCTGTGATGAACAATTAAGCTCATCGAAAAGGAATAATTCATATAAAAATTATTGTCCGCGCACTTGGGACGGTTACAGGTGCTTCAAAGACACTGAACCTGGAAGCAGAACGTATTTCTCGTGTCCGAGTTATGTTGCACATAGTGATGTGTCGAGTAAGTACGTTTGATAAAACCTGCAAATGTCTTTGGTAAAATGTAAGATTGGTAATGAATTATAACGAATTCTGCACCTGGTCTTATATCTAATTTCAAAGCGACTTGAATTGAATATAAGAAATGGCATCCACAACATAGAGGAAATGCAAATGTATTGCAATTTATGGTTATAATTACGTTGCGATATTCAAGACGTATTAGGTAGTAATATTATGGGAAGTCTGGCTTGTTTAAAAAACCAGTGCAATGTATATCGTTTAATCTACAAAATTGTGATATAATTATTATAACTTCACTGATATAGTTATAAAGTATGATGTTTTCTTAACCATAATTTGCATTTACAAATTGTATTAAGAAGTTATAAGAATATCTTATCAATTTTGGAATGCTAAATACATTAAAAAATATTTGAGACATAAAAAGAAATAAACAAACAATAAACACAACTATCAAAATCAAAAACTAATTATTATTTAGTTATTCAAAATTAAAACTCATTTTTAATATACCATATTGCAAACGAAATTGATTTACAGCACTTTATTTTGCCCGCCGAACACATTTGATATACACTTCATTTGTAGTAACTAATGTTGTGGAATTATTATTTTTACTGTTGTGTTTTATGCCAAAAATGCCTTACTTTCTTGGAAAAAGAAGACAAACGAAAAAGACATATGCAAATATTGTTAAATAAATAAATAACAGAAGGAACGAACGAACGTACGAGCGAACGAACAAACAAATAAGTGTTAATTTTGCTCTGTTTTTCCTATTATGCGCGCACAATGCAGCAAACCTTTTGTACTTCTTCACTGCAATCTGGTATTTCAGCCCTTAGCGGTTGCCGCTAGCACAAATAGATGAATATATTTGATAGTTAAAATACAATTTGTAGTTTGGTTTATATCCTTCAAATGTTTTCTAGATTGTTATAAATCGCAGCTGTCTTATGTATGCGATGTTTGTTGATAATACTTAAGTATAATCTACAGCCTAGACAAATGGGAACGCACTCTATAAATTTTAATGTGAAGAAGTGTGCAGTAATTGTGTTTAAGAAATCAAATTAATTGAAACCGTTTTGGTATTTATACAGAAGCTACTGATTATTTCAGCTTATCACTTTTATAAGCAGTTGCTTCAATAGGTAGTAATTATGTGTTTTGAATTAAATGAATGAATGAATGAATGAATGATTTTATTAATGAATGAATGAATTAATTAATTAATGAGTGAACAAAGAAAACGAATAAAAATGTCAATTTCAACATATCAGTATATTCAAAATAAAATCAGAAATATACAGCAATTAAAAATGATTTAGTGAGAAGAATCACACTATGAAAATTTTCATTTTTTATAAATGGTTTAAAACAATACATGACCGTTAGTAATTAGTAGAATGTATGAAAAAGATATAAAGTAAAGTCTGATACATTTGAGTGTTCAAGCGCAAACGTATCGCCAATGTTACACAAAACAATTAATTTTATCTTATATTATTTCTTTGCAGCAATTTACGCTCTTTGTAAAAACATCTCTATAGATGATTTTAAGAAATTGTAATTTCTTTTATATTCATTGTACATTTTGAAATTTAGCGTATAGTTGACCATTCACACTTTTTCACATCAACTTTGTATACTGGAAAAAGATGCAAACATGTATTGGAAGATGTTGCGTGTTGCGTTTTTTACATATTCGAATTTTCGACAGATTTTTCTTTTCGCAGGAAAAAAAATCATTGTTAGCACATTGGTTATTTTAAGAGATCTTGGCAGCTTTTATTACCCTGGTGGTTAGGCTAGTTATCCATGGTAATAAAACCAACAGAAAACAGTCATAAAAGAGATTACCGCTTCTTGAAATAGAAAAGTTATAATATGAAATGAAATAAAATCATATTGATTGACAGGTTATAGATGAACAGTTTTGTTATCTGCTTCTGTATGATTATAACACTATGGTTTATGCTTTTGTAAAAACATTACATTCATATTGCACATACATATAGTAAAATTGGATGTTACATAAAAGTTTATGTTGAAAGTTTATTCGAAAAGATTACAATATAGACGAACCTGTCAGGCCAGACATTAAATTTACCATCGCTTTTTTATCTTTACAATTTCGTGAAAACAGAAAGATTATTATTAAACAGAATTTCGTGTTAAAGATTTTTGATATAACCGGAGTTGGCATTAACCGTATCAACGCTTAAATGATGTAGACACACTTATCTTTTTTATCAGTCTAAGCATTGCTAGTGATCTGTTTTGTTAGAACTTATGGTAGAAAATTAGCTGATTCATTTACGTGTAGAAAAAAGGTGTTTCATTTCGGGAATAGACAATTTGTAGTGACTGCAAACGAAACCAATTCTGTTCGAATCTAACGAAACCGAATATCGTCTCATCATTAGACAGAACCAACAAAAGGTTTACTTTGAAAAAAAAATTACGACGATTTTCCCCAAAGCAAGCGTATACTGTGATTTAAAGCATATTTCTCAGAATTTCAGTCAATGGTTGCTGTTCATTTCATGCAGCACATAAAAGCTCTTGAAGCATTTATTTGGCCACGTTTTTTAACACCTGTAGTATTGACAAGGCAGAATAGTACACGCTTGACAGTAACAGTAAACTTTCAAAAGATATTTTGTAAATATATTCAACTGAATCAATGAACACACATACCTTTTTAGAAACTTTTTTAACATTTTTCTTGATGACACAGTGCATACCGTTCATACATATGTAATCATACAGTACTTTGTGGTTCTAATGGTTTAAATCATGAAACATTTAACAGACTTACACTTTAAAGTTCTGCATATGTAATTATCAAGTAGTTTTGGTTTTGAATTGGATTAAAATTATTTAAAAAAAATAGACAAAAGTAAGTTTAATTTCTCCTGCTTTTCACTGCTATTAAAAGAGACTATCTACATGTAAAACTTATCTAACTTAATTTCCCCCATTGCTGGATCATAACAAAATATGACGAATGAAACTTTAATATAAAATTAGTATAAATATATGACATTTGATATACACTAAATGCATTCTAAATTATCTTATCGGCATTTGTTATCGTCGATGGTATTCCGAATTCATTGCAATTGCAACAGATAACGTAAAACTCGATGCATAAATTCATTATTTTTTACACAAGTATGTGTTAGATATATCTGAAAAATGTCGCTGATTGTATCATATATTTAAACATCTAATATGTTATCTTGTAGAAATGTTATAGAAATCTTTTGATTTAATACATTTTATCTTCATTAAAGCCCGCCGATTTTCTTTGAAAATAAGTACGTGTTTAATATTAGCCTGCAATATATCTAATGGCGTCCTAATCTTAAAAACATTAGACAGAAATGATTTTGTTCCATTTCAGAATTCGGTCAAGCAATAAAGGGTGTAAAGACAATATCTGGCGTGTTGATTTTCTTTTATTGAATTATATTATGATGACACAAATAGAAAAAAGTCATATTAAATGTGTAACAGAAGTGAAAACAAAATTGTTTGTAATTGATTTAAGGAGATTGTACACGTATAAGTGCTGTAATAATAGATTTGCATTTACACATTTATATATCCAGGGCCGGAAAGCAAATCAAATAGTTTAAATCAGCCCGCCTCCAGATTTCTGCTAATTTAATAAAAAAAATGAAAAAGTATAAAAAAAATGTGAAGTGAACAATAAGAATGATATACATGTACATATTGCAAACGGCACTTACAATCCATGTAATTTACCGAAAAAAAAGAGTAAAAAATACTGCAAAATCGGTCATTAATGGCACATTACAAGTTTGATTTTTCTTGCAGTATTTGATCTAATCTGGAGGCAAGCAGCTTTAAATATATATCCTATCATATTGCAAGAATGTGCGAATGTATTTGCTAAGTTTATTACAACATTGTTATACCTGTTATGCATTTCTAAAGAATGATATACGCTTAAAATCGTATTGATAGGATTCAAATAATTTGCATTGCTCAAGTTTCGTATCTATGCAAAAATAAGACATTCTAAAACAAGAATAGTTTGGCGTTATTTGTGCCATTTGACATTTAAAGTTAGACATTTGTCCTCAGTATTCCGAACATTAACAAAATGGACACACGCAGTCGGGAATGTTATAGTGGCGATTCATTAAACCTAATTTATTGCTCCTCTTAATTCCGATTTAAAGATCACATCCGTTCCCGTCTAATGCATTCAAAGCTATTTCGAAAGCAATCTGTATTGCAAGATGGATTTATCCACTATTGACCTCTCATCTATTTCTCCAACAACCAGATGGATTTATTTTATTTCCAACTGAATCATTATAGCCCTTTTATAAATTGTTAAAAAGAACGATTCTAATGTGATTTCTTTTAATGCTCGAACCGTTGTTTAACTGAGGTATACAAAATATAGCCATTATGCCCTGTGAAATAAACGAATGGTAAAAACATGCTACTGGAGAATTAATACTCGAGCGTTAACTCTGCATGATAAAATATTTGGATTACCGGCTAAAGAATTTCAGACATTCTTAATATATATTACATTTTCTTGTTTTCCCAGTTGTATTATTTAATAATTCAATGAATAAATAAGGAAATACAACGTACTGCTAAATTATACTCGCCAAATTGACGTTACTAAATGTACATGCATATACATGTATTCTTTAAATCGACATTTGTCCAGAAAAAATATTTTATAGCTCTTTAAACAGCAGATGTTTCATCTTATCCCTACAAAGAAAGTCAATACAGTTTTTTATTGAACTGTTTTTCACAATTTAAAAATACTGTATAACAGTGTATTATTCCAGGCGAAGTCGCACAAATGTAGGCGATAACCGCGATATGAATGCTTCTTTTCTTTAATTTTAAATTGCTAATAAAGATATTGACGCTGTGATAAAACAAATATTACATAATAATTAACTATCTAAATATGTTCTCATGACACATATTATACAAATATGGACTTTTTAGCTGTTGAATATGATGTGCTATGTACTGAAAAAAAATATTGACCGAGGCGACAGCCGAGGTCAATATTAATTTTTCAGTACATATCACATCATATTCAACAGCTAAAAAGTACATATCTGTTTTATTACATAATTTATAAATAGCTTTTATATGGCTTATCACATCTGCCATTGCATACTGATGCTAATCCCTATTGTTCTTAAAAATGTAAAACGGTAACTAAAATAGACTAATTTGACTCTAAAGTACACCCCACACAACGTTTTTTCAAAATAATAACATCAAAATTGGCATGACGTCACGTCAAAGTTTCGCATCTTTTAGGGATTTCCAGAAAATCTATTTTTAGAAATAAAAAATCGGTGAATATACTCTGAAAATCTATTTTTAGGGAAAAAACAGTGAATATTATACAAATATGGACTTTTTAGCTGTTGAATATGATGTCATATGTACTGAAACAATTTATATTGACCGAGGCCATAGCCGAGGTTAATATTAATATTTCATTACATATCACATCATATTCAACAGCTAAAAAGTACATATCTGTTTTATTATATAATCTATAAATATCGTTTATATGGCTTATCACATCTGCCATTGCATACGACGGAAATCATTATTTTTCAGCTTGTCTACTGTTTCCATAATTTGGCCCTTTCCATTGGCATGCTAATCCCTATGTTTTTTAAAAATGAAAAACGGTAACTAAAATAGACTAATTTGACTCTTATGTACACCCAACTCAACGTTTCTTCAGAATAATAACAACAAACTTGGCGTGACGTCACGTCAAAGTCTCGCGTCTTTTAGGGATTTCCAAAAAATCTATTTTTAGAAGAAAAACCGGTGAATATACTCTGAAAATCTATTTTTAGGAAAAAAATACACAGTGATATCATACTCTGACATTCTGACCAAGCTGTCTTATTCTATTTTACACACAAAATTGTGTGAAAATATGTCTAAGCCATAATCAGGGATAAGAGGCATTTCAAAGCTATATTATTAGATTATATAATACATTCTGATATTGACCTGTTATTTTTTTTACAAAAAGTTGCTTGTTAGCCAACCAGGGAAAGGCATTTCAAAGTTATTTATAGATTATATAATAATTATAATTATGCTATTGAAGCAAACATGAAGCAACCGAAGGTAAATGACACAAAACTGAAATGCTTGTAGTGCTTTGGTCCAATTATAACGCTTGATCGGAAATAAAACTTTTGTGAAGTCTACTAAATACAGTCAAACGTTACCTTATAAGGCTTCAAATCTTGTTTGTCATTTCATTAAATTAATCTGTAGGTCATAACTCATCTTTCTGGAAAAAACAATGTTAATCAGAATTTCTATTTTACTCCTTCCTGTAAAAGATAAGGCAATATGGTTTCTATATTTTCAGAAATGGCGTTTAAAGATTGTAATGAAAATGGAACTTGGTGGGTTGATCCAACATCAGGGGCGGAATGGACGAATTATTCATCTTGTGTTCCAAAAGATGTAAGTAGATATGCATGAAAAAACAATTTGTTTGACGTTTGTTATTTTTTGTATTCCTGTTTAAGTTACTTAAATGTTTGTTGGCTTTAGGGCTTCTGGTTTACTATATTTTCTTTCTACGATGTTCTTTTAGAACAACGCTATCAAATTTGGACTTCTTTTATTTTATATTATATTTCACTTTTGTGTCTTTGGCTGACATACCTTTGCATATATTTAATCCCCACTTTTGAACAATAATACCATATAATAATATTTTATGGGTACATGTATTTCAAAGAACGCGCGTGTAAATCTTGGCACTCATAAAATTATTAATCAGCATCTCAGTGTTCTTCTGGTTTAGATACGCTTTATTTACTCAAATGCACTTAAAACAAATTTCCATATAGTCTTTTTTGTAAGATATTTGCCAGACCAACGTGTGTTATTTAATATTACTAAATAATATTAAATATAAAGGTAACTGTTATAGTTACTATTCTTTGTTTCATATTTCAAACATTGTTTTTATAAGAAATATACGATTGTTTTAGCTTAGTCATTAATTTAGACAATTCATGACACAAAGATTTTAGATATTGAAACACAAACTAGCTAATTGGCAATTTGCGTACTATTTATGTATGCATAACAATAAAAATCCAACGAATGATGATTCACTTTTTAAGTATAGAATAATATTTTTTTTAATAAAGTTACATTTTATATTCGACAAAAAATTATTTAGTATGTTTCGCTCTTTTTTTAGAATCACAATGTGATAATTTATGTTTCACTGGCAAGCAACATTGTCAGCTTGGCCATGCTGATACCAGCGTGTGTTATTTTCATAGCAATTAGGTAAGTTTAACCAAGTATGATACAGAGTTTGACTTTATGTTCAGCATAATACTTGTACTCTCATTTCATGCTTGGATTTGATGAGATACAATAATGATATGTATAGTATGTCTGATACAAGTTATATTCAATTTGAACTTATTCGCTTTTAACCTTGTGTTAATGTGTAAGGTGAATTAAATTGCTTCTCCAAAAAGAGAGGGATGAAACAAATGAACATTTACATGATGTCAAATGTCAAACCAAAGTTTGTCCACCGGTTTAAGTTGTCTAACCCTCAGGGGGAGGTCCGATGACTATATTTTGATCTCAGATGACTGTATATAATTCTATATAATGCTGCTTTTAAATCACATTTGTCCGTTCTCAATGAAACAGTGAAGTCGTCTTCGATTAATATTTCGACAGGTATTGAATTGAGCTAATTAATTTTGCATCCTAGATTTTTATCTCATATACATTTTGACCATATTTTTATTTTACCTGTTTCTTGTTTCAGACAATTACGTGTACAGAAAAGAATAAAGCTTCATATCAACCTGTTTCTCTCATTTGTCCTACACTGTCTTGTCCTGATACTGTGGGATACAATAGTCTATCGTGACAGGCTTCAGAACGAAAAACATGACACAATCATGCATCGAAATTCGGTAATTGATTCCAAAGTTTTATTAATAGCTGATCATTTAGACTTTAAATACATCCTTGAAACATCGGTTAATTGAGTTAATATTCTATCATGATTATAATATCTATGTAGGTTGTTCTTTGATTAAGACTTTTCTGAATCGTGTCTTTGGAGCTCCGCCTTTAGAAGAGAATATCTAAATCATAGTCATTAAATAGATTTTCGAAATTCTTTATCACGTCGTATAGCTATAGGCATACCAAATTACAAATAACATCAAAGTTAATTACTTCAGTAATAAGAATTTGTAATTAGCCGTAAGCTGCCAGGCATCGTCAGACATCAGTAAATCTTGGAGTAAACGACTTTGTCTATTTTATTTTAAGCATGTAAAGTTTGTTTACTTGTAGTAAGCATACCATTGTTCTTTTCAGGGCGGTTGCAAATTTTTGTATATTCTCACTCGATATGCAAGCACCGTGAACTTTTTCTGGATGTCATGTGAAGGTTTTTACCTCCATCGATTAATCGTTCATGCCTTTGCAACGCCGAAATCTTTGACTTTCTACTACATATTTGGTTGGGGTAAGGACATGTTTTTCGTAAAAATGTAAGATTTTAAGCAGATTCGAAACGGAAGGCAAACTGCATTTCAGTTTCGAAGTTTCAAAAGGCAAACTACATTGTTATCTGTTATTTTATTTGTTAAATTTGAATTTAAATCTCCAGCAGGAAAACAGATTTCTATAACACTGCTTCAGTCTTCATCATTTGATTATAATCTTTAAATGAATTCATTCTACCAATTTCATTCAAACGAAATTAGAATGACGCTATGGCAACTGCTGGTGTTTTTCCCCAATAAATAATGTATAAATGACAAACAGATATTGCATCTTTTTTAAATTGACTTTCATGATTGATTGCTCATTTATTTTGTATTTTTAAGGAAAACTCTTACATTTTCAAATCTTGAATGAGTTACTGTCACACCTTACATTTATTATATTCAGTAATAAAAAGGTTGAGACCTTATAACTACAATTTGATGTTATTTCTTGCAGTAGTGTCCTGGATCCCAGCACTCGCTTATTCCATTATTCGGGCCACGACAAAAGATTTTGATTCAGAGTACGTGTTACATTTAAAGAAAATGTAGAAATACTAATGCGGTTATGTCCTTTACAAATCTATTTGAGCTGTATTTCAGAATTGTATTTAACTCAGCACATCAGAGTCTGTTATATTAAAGAATATATTAGTTTGATTTTCTTCGCTTAAATGGGTCGTTAACTGTTTCGCAAAGGGAGCCTCATTTAGTTGTTTGTTAAATAACAATTGACAATTTGTATTTAGATAAACGTTTATAATAGATTTGTCGATTTAGTTGAAATTTATATTTAAATAAACATTTGTAATAGTTTGTCAAATTAGTTAAATCATTTATTGAAGCACATTTGTAGGTTTTTTGAAGCTCATATTGATCAGTCATTTGCTTGTCAGTTTCCTAATACGCACCAGAAATACTGTGATACGGGGAATTTAAACTAACAAAGTTGTGAGCCAAGTTGCCAACTCGAAACCATTTGATGAGAGGCAGCCACCTAAACCACTTAGCTGTACAATATTATACAATGTCCTCAAAGAAGTCTACTAAACATTTGTTTAATTTGAAGTTATAAACCATTGTCTATTTTTTTTAACATTTGTTTAATTGTATGATTTTCAGTTGTTGGATACACAATATTGATGGATACGAATGGTTGTTGTATACGCCGAATCTCCTTAGCCTCGTTGTAAGTACAAAGTAAAAATTGATTTTACGGCATTTACTACATTTTTATGTAGAGATTTAGGCAGAATTAAAATTGTGCTCATATAGTTCATTCAAACTTTGCATAATCCAATGAAACCATAGCCATTTAAGCTGACAGAATCGGTACTTACAATTATATTTTCGTAAAGATTTTTCATCTTAATTACAACTGGTAATTAAAACACTCATGCACGTGCATTTGTATGAGCCAAGGGACCAAACTACGATCTTTATATGATATCGTGATGACATGATAACTTTACATGATGGAAGATTATTATATGTATATTTCAATATACGCTTTGAATATTTGTAAATTAATCCTGTGTGCGAACACATTTTTCTGTTAACAGGTAAACATTATATTCCTTGGGAACATAATACGAATACTGTGTTCAAAACTACAGGCGCATCCAAATGAACCTAGTAATTACAGGTAGGTCAATAATGTTCACAAATAACTAGGCATTGTTTTTATACTTTTTAACAATGACACATTGGACCTGTTTTACTTGGAAACTTGTAATTAAATAACTTACTTTGTGGTGTTTGATGATGTTGAAGAGATATAGTAACTTATAAATAATCATAGTAGATCATTTCCGCCACACATTTAACATATATAATAACATTAACTGCACTATTAATTAAGATTTACAAACCACGTTGTATATCACAAATAAAATTATTATCGTAAGCAAAATACTTTACACTCATTGCTTAGTATGGGTTGGTCCGAGGAACGAAATCCAGAGTTTATCTATGATCTTAAAGATTCCTACACGAACGAATTAAAATCAGACTTTGTATTGTCTTAAAAGAAGTATCATTGAATTATGATCAGCAAAATAAGTATGCATATAAATTAAAAAATATGAAAATAAATATGTAATTATACTAATTGTGAATTAGTGTGAATGTTCGCATAAAAGTCGTATCCTAAGTCGTAAGTTTTTTTTATAATTTTTCATTTCAGGAAGGCTTTAAAAGCTACGTTTGTATTGCTCCCTTTGTTTGGACTTCAGCAGTTCGCAGTAATTTATAGACCACACACCGGGACGAAAGTAGATTTCATCTATGAAATTGTACAGACGGTTTTTATAAATACACAGGTAGTCCACATTTTTTCTTTTTATTGTCTGTGTGCATTAAATGGTGCGTAAATATGAAAACGTATTTATAAATAATGGCGAGTGTTTTGTAGATGTAAGATTTTTTACATGCCGACAGATATTGAGATAATTAACCGCATAAATTATTTGCAAGCATCTAGAATATCCTGATTATCGCATAAAGTACTGAACAGCGGGACAAACATAAACAACATCTAAATTGATTGAGGAAATGTTTATTTAAGATCTTAAAATTGATTAAAGTTAAATAGATTATAGAGAAGAGAAAGCCAAGTGTTTCTCTGATTAGAAAATATAAGTTATTGATATTTTAAGCATCTTTTAAATCATTAATAATTAAGAAATAATAAGAAAATACAAGTCCATTCGATTAAATTCATCGAGCTTTAGAATTGGTGTCAGTACCAAATGGCATAACAGTCAGCATCAAATGACCTTTACAAACTCCATGTGAATTAAAACTAAATAACGAATTTTGTTTCACAATGCAGCACAAACTGACAAAAAGGTATTGACTTTAGAAAAAGAAAGACCCTCTACATATTTGTGATATTTTTAGTTCATTCAATTGACATTTTTCAACTTGGAAGATTCCAGTATTGTATTCCTTTTCGAATGCTGTATAATCACCCTTAGGATATTGTGCCTGCTTATGTTTTTTTTCTTGAGATCTAATCTCTGATTAGCAGGCTTCATAATCTCTGATCTACTTAATATACAATTCCAGTTTGTTTAGTTCCGTCATTGTTATCTTGTTTAAGACACACACTTTCTTTTTCTACGGGACCATACGCTGCTTTTCATGGAATGGCACGAAAGTACCATATTAAATGTTCCATTAGAACTGCCATAAGAACACATCTGTGGATGTTTTTGAAATCAAAATTTCAGCATTTTTATGTTTCAATATTAAATTTTGCCTTACAAGCGGCGTGGACGATAACTTGCACTTATCATTACTGTCCATGAATAGCCTCAATCCTACCGAGAATGCAACATTTACAATATTGTTGTCTTGCGCGTTCCTTGGGAAATCCGTTTTTCTCTATTTTACAACAGAAATTCTTCAGGTTGATCTTCTTAATCAGTCACGATCAGGTCACCTAGTGTATGTAGTCTATCTCATAGATTTATTCCATGAATATTTATCTTGCTTATTGTATAGAAAAGTGCAGATGTGGAAGATGTAAATGTATGAAATCTATCTGCATATCATTGAATGCGATAGAAAGTCTTGTTCTCATCAAAATACAGTACCAAGAGATAAGTCGGTGCTACGTAACCTAATTAGAATAATTAGTGGTAGCTAAATTTTTTGCAGCGTTGCATTTTTTTCTTTTTCTCTATTTCAGGGGGCTATCGTGTCACTTATATTCTGTTTCCTGAACGGAGAAGTAAGTATATCTAACACTGTCAATTTAATTAATTTTGTTACTCTTAAAAATGGATTAATGTAAATATAATACAGATCCGTATAAGTTGCAGGTATTGTGTTCAAGAAAATTGATTTATTTAAAGATGTAAAGATTGTGCTTACCTATAAACCATCGTTATTATGCCCCCAGAAAGTGGGAGCATAAAGCGTTGCACTTGTCCGTCCGTCCGTCTGTCCGTCCGTCTGTACGTCTGTCCGTCCGTACGTCTGTCCGTACGTCCCGAAATTTTGTGAACGCAACTCCTCTTAAACCGGATGGCAGATTTTGCTTAAACTTCCCGGGATGAACAACCTTAATGTGCTGTTAAAGGATAAGGTATTTCATCGGCCAAAATTTAAATTATTTTGTTATTTTCATAAAATGGAAAATTTGTAAATATAATACAGATTTTTTAATTAGGGTTGCAAGCTATTGTGTTCAAGTAAAATGAATTTTTTACAAATGTAAAGAATTGTGCCTTTTTCACTATATACCATACGTTTTTGGCTACTTTTTAAGGTGGAATTTTTAATTCCTGCCTTAAGAATTTTAATTTTTGCCTTAAAGGGCCTGGTCCATAGGTGTGGCGTTTGGAAAGCTGTAACTTGTACTTTCCAGTACCGTCCATTTGCAGACTCAATCTAACCGTGCCTGTAGCATTTTCAATTATGTCATGTTTGACATTTTTACGGATTCAGATTTTTCTATTCTATATTTTTGGCTTGAATTTTAGGTTCATACATATCTCAGAAATTGCATTGGTCGTCACACGAAACTGGGGTCATCATTAAATTACAATAGGAAGAGTAGTATGTCTTCAGCAACGCAATTCACATCTGTTGCATCTGCTAGAAGGGCAACGAAGCAGTACGAAACTTCAGACTCTGCTGGATATATCCCACTTAGTACAAGCAGCACAGCAAATGATATGTCAAACACAATCAAGTCTACAAATGGACACGTAACGTTTGCTACTTAATACACATGGACGTTTTTTACAACGCATGTTACGTTTAATTGCAAGAGATATGAATATAATGAAGAGTTTCTTTACGACATCGTACATAACCGGTACTGTAAAAAGACGGTTTTAAAAAAGAAAACGTTTTATGTTATTTATTGAAAAATAATTTGACATGAATATATCTCCATTTGCATTTGATGTATATGACTGTATACTTCGTAGTATTCGAAAATGTCGTCGTATATTTACGTAGTGTTATTTCAAAGGCATTCGTACTAATTGGTTTTGCATAATTTGTATATGTGTATATCTTGGGGCACAACAATGTACTTTGGAGTGTCTCGAATTGTTGTATAAAGGGACAATGCAATATCGTCATACGATCACATCAAATTACTCATTGTATTTTGTTATATAGTTACCATTGTTGTATCTTTGACATAAATGTCATGTTAATTTTGCTAATATTTAGTTTAATATAATCATGTATAAATATGTTTGAAACTAAAAAATGTAACTATTCCATTTTTAAATTATCTTTTTACCAATAAATCTATTATTTTTTATAAATAATTATAGACTATCAAACTCTGCCTGAGATTTTCGAAAACAAGTATAGTTTTAAAAAATCTATGTGTACAAAACATTTCATCTAATGTTATTGCAATATGAAACTAGACCACATATTTTCATTTCTTTTCCTATAAGAATGGTATTTGTTAGTTTGAGTACATTTAACAACTATTGAAATAAAATGATTCTGATTTATGCCTCACATTATTTTTTGTAAATGGTAAATGGCAAATATAAACAAATTGAATGCAAACAAATATAAACAATTTGAATGCAGAGTAATACCTTTTATGATATATACCAATATTAAAAAGATGTGCTCAAAAGAAATTCATATGCACGCAAGGAAATAAAGAAACAGAACGTTATATTGATGCAGTATAAAAAAGAGCATTCTTTAATGAAATAAATGATATGCAAGGCGCTACTACATTGGAAAACTTCGTTCGTTGTAGGCACACAACAGACAATCGTGCTTAACTCTATTCAACACCGCAAATAAAATTTGTTTTACATACCATTGTTGGGGTCTTCGGGACCGAATAGAAAGGGTATCCGACTTCACAACACTAAACCGCTAGCGTTTTTGGTTCGAATCTCATCGGGACCTTTGGATGATTTCATGTGAGGACGATAAAAATACTTTACTTCACCAGTAAAACTTTAGGTGGCTATAAAACTGTACGAGTGACGGTACGACCTAAAAACAAACCAAACCTAACAAACAATCAAACAAATAAACCAAGATATCAATCACTTCGATAGATAGTAGATACATGTATATATTCTAGTATTTATTATGAAGATACAATGAAAGATTGACATACAAGTGTGCATATGCTCCTAACATATCGTATCAAATACCATATCATATTTGACCTAACATCCATATTACTGACGTCCATGAATTGCAAATAATATTAGAATACCATAATTGTGCAAAACCGTAATCACAGTGCGAGGTTTGGTAATAATTGAACTAGTGATTCATACTTCAATAAAAAAAATATGCCTGTGATTATTAACCAGACGAAATAAAACTTTCATTTCAAAGTTTCATACAGTTGTTTACGGTGTAATCTTAACGATTTCAAATACAATCAAAACTTTTATGTGTTTTGAAACATATAAGTCGCTCGAATATATGCATAATACCGTTAACTGAATAATGCAAACACGGTGTTCAAGGCTAACAATGTGTATCTGTTGGAACACTTCGGCGGTTGTTTATAATAATCTCGGAGTTGAAACGGATTGAAAGAAGTTCTAACATACCATGCAGAATAGGATGTTAACAAAACAGAGGTTGAATAATGTTTAACGAATGACATTTTCACATTCAAAGGACAATAAAGTGTTTTTTTCCAAAAAATTATGATTGTAAAATATGTCTGACCATCATAATCAATTTAAAACGCAACCTAATGTACAAATTTAACCAAATCCCAATTTCTAGCATTTACTTACAATTCTCATGTGTAGTTTCTTTCTGGCACAGGTTAGACCGTATCCGTTTTGTAACTCTTTTTCTTTTCTTTCTTTGTATTCGGGGCCATACGATACTATGATGAAGCAATAAGAACTAAGAATTAAAAATGTTTATGATGATCTAACTCATATAGGAATAAAAAGGAACAACTATATGGAATATAATCAACAACAAATATATCAAATTTTGCTTTGTATGTTTTCCTTCATTAAAACGAATTCTACATTTAAAAAACACCAACTTCTATTCTATTCATGGAATAAATATATTAGATGCATACGATGTAAGTTTACTCATGTTCTTTTAAAGACCACATATCCCATATTATAAATTCTTTCATCATGTGTTTACAAAGTTTTTGGAGAAGAGAAACAATTTTGCTTTCATTGAAATTCCAGACTGGATCACTTTATATTGATAATTTATATGCTCGTTAAATTTGTTAAATTGCAGTCATTGTTGCCGCTGAAGTTGATATTTGATGCAATAAAGAAACAATTTTATAATCTCTTTGAACTATTTGAGAGACTTTTATATATAATAATTATCAATATCGCTGCTGGCTTTTATTGTTTTACGATTTGTTGATAACATAAACTCAATTGCCGAGAGAGTAAAAATGCACTCTGAAATCTGATGAATATATCAATACAATATTATTTAGAAATTAAACTACTTTTACCTTATAACAATAACTAAGTAGGATAAAATAAGTTCGTATTAGACTTTGCATTAAAGTTGTATTATAACAACCACTAACAGTTAAGATTAATAAAAAAAAAGTAAATGCAAGTTTTTTGAAAAGCTAGAAATAAAGTTAAAGTTATTCATGACCCAGCAATAAAAGTGTGAGCCAGTCATCGTTAGGTTAAGAAATACTGAGGTTAAGATTACGTTTTTTTGTATTTCCATCAATTTAATTTAGTTTTAGAAAGTAGACTTCAGAGTAGTGCATAAGTAGTCTAAGATTGAATCGCAATACAGCTAAAAATTACATATATCTTTGTAACAACCAGAGATCAAACACCTTTCATTAGCTCTCATGTACATAAGAAAGCCGAGTCTACAGTTTCAACTTTCATTTTTTTTCGTTAGCCTCGAGGGATGTTTTCTTAACAAGTGGATAGTGGACTCATAGATACGTATAATACTTTATGTATCTATGAGTAAAACATTCAATTCCATTTGTTGTTGTAAACACTAGAAATAAACTTTAGATGATAGGCTAGGTCATTTAAATATATAATTAGAATCGTATAAATTATGTTAGGTAATCAAAACAAAATTATAATAATGCGATAAGGAACTGTGCCTTTGAGCATACTAATTGTTTCTCTGACTTCACATCTCTTTGTTTCTTATCTAAGTAATAGATTTGTTCAACCCTTTAGCTCAATGGATAGAGCGTCGTATTAATAATCTAATCATCCAAGGGCCACCGTTTTGATAACGGGGTGTTCGAAAATTTTCAGGACAAATGATCTTGGACTACTGACAATTATATGTCTGAATCTCATTGGCGATTCTGAAATCATGTGTTATAAGAAGTCGGTCACTTTAGAGGAATTGATATTACTGGTAAGTTATTACAGAAAGCCGTTTAGGTAGATCGACTGTCGTGATATGACAATAATATGTTTAGATTAGAGTAAAAACAGAAAACGATGCAACAATAAAAGACACAACAAGTTTGCTTAGAATATACACGTAGGGTCTCAATATTGGTATATCATTGTAATTGTTCCCAGGAAAAGAAAATAAAACAAGCGAAAACAAAACAAACAAAAACAAAACATACAAAAACAAAGAAAAAACAGAAAGGTAAGTTGTTAATGTGTGTTGCCTCTTTATTTTTTAAATTTATCTAATATATAAAACTCGGCAAAATTAAAATAATTTTGTTTCTAGGAAAATAGCCGACGATGTAGTTTTATTTATGACATAAGCAATATAAAACCTCAATGGTCAGACAATAGGTTTGTCTTCTTTTTCAAATGATATTACATTTTTATCAGAACTAAGAACTGAATAAAATCAATTGAAAGAAATACTTTGTCAAATTCAATTAAATCCCTTCAGCATTACTCCAACCTTTTCGAGACTCATCACTTCCAAAAGTGTAATCATGAAATAATCTAATTACCCGTCAGAGTGGTATATACGGCCTTAAGTTTATTTTCAACTTGCCTCCAGACAAAATAATCTGTCTAACTAATTGCCTTTTAGATACCTTGATACATCTGTGTGTAGGGTAGACGTGATTTCTTTTTCTACCAATTTGATTCATTGAACTGAATAAAAAAATAACTTCGGATCTCATATTTATACTGTAACAAAGCGAATGCAAGTCGTCCTTATCATTCAAATTGCAAATAGACTAAGATAAATTTAAAGTAAAAATGTTAAAAAAGTGATTTTTTCTGTTATAACTATATATCAAAAAATGATATATTAAATAAAATAGATTTTCGTTGTTTCATTTTCTGCAAGCCCTGGTAGAATATCGTCTGAACATTTGTTATCAGATAACAAGAAGTCATTTCTTTCATCACAAGAATAAGGCCGGTTCGAAATGGTCTAAAGGCATCTAATTACATATTTGATTTATGCTTGCTCTTTTACCCGACTGGAATATCATGTTGTTTTCCGTCTTAAGCCTTCCACACTATTTCGAAATTAATTAATCGGTACGATAGCTTAATTCAATCACCTATGAGCCTACAATTTATTTCTAAACATTACAAAAATGTATGGTACAGGTGGGTATCTAACATTAAATTTTGTGGTTTGTCGTTTTCAAAATGATTATTTTTACGTTTTCTGGTAAAATGTCAATTGTTATAATAAGTAATCTCAATAAAGATCAGAGTGTAAACAATTGCGTGAAATAGGTAATCTCTAAATACATGTTGTTCATTATAATATTTACACATTTACCCATAACAGCGCAACCCAGCGAGAGTAATTATATGCATGAGATATTTTGCTCCAATCATACCTGAATAGATGACAATTAATTGGCCAGGAATTGACGATTAAGTTCAATTTCCAGGAATATTAATCATATATAATGCCCATAAATCGTGTTTTAAAGGCCATATAAATCCAATAGATAAATTATCCTCTGTAGGAGCCTGGTGCTTTTTCCAAAATTAATGTGATTGTAAGTGTGTTATGTTTTAAAATGGTTTCAACATTTGTGTATGTAATTTGAAGAGTATTGCAAATTTCAAAAATAAAACGATGAAAGAGTTAAAACTTTGATGTTCATCTTTGTAGTAAATATTAACTTTCAAATTATAACCAGCTTATAAAATTAATGACATGTTTAAATAATGGAAATAATTCTATTTTACATGTTTTAAGAACAAAACTTAATATACAAAACATAGATATCTTTTCTTTCTTTATATCAGGACCTACCAAATTGGGAATACCAATATTTTAACATGAATTATTGTTCATATGCTCTTCCCACCATGCGTGTTTGATAGTTTTGTGTGATTTCTGAGCAATGAGCAATTTCTTACAATGAAGATAAACGTATAACAGCGCATTTTGGTTTAAATGAAAGTTTAAACATTTGTTTTGCTGCTTTAAACTTGATTGTGATTAAAGCTTTCATATTATTTAAACAACTTTTTAGTCTGCTGCCTAATACGAACGAACCGAAACATGATTATTGAGACCTATGATTCTTGGGTCTGG